GGCCATAAGGGGATATGCCCCTCATGACCCTTGGTTAGTTAGTTAATGTTCAAATCCAGGGAAGGAAAAGAGGAGGCAAGTTAAAATAGAAAGGGAAAAGTGAGGATAGAGATAGGGGAAGTAAATGCAATAAAAGAGGAAGAAACAAAGGACGCTTATTGACGAAAGGTCCGACCAACAGTCGGGTGCGAGGAGCAAGACGGTTTATGTTTATCGACACCCTGCGATTTTACAAGTTCTCCCACTTAGAAATCATGGAGGGGTCTGAAATTCACATTGTAGGTGCATTCCCACTCTGAGAGACAGAATTAAAAAAAAAATTCAGGAAATCACATTGTATGATTTTTAAAGAATTTATTTGTCTTGCACTGCTGAACATAAGTATTTGAACACCTGAGAAAATCAGTGTTAATATTTGGTACAGAAGCCTTTGTTTGCAATTACAGAGGTCAAACGTTTCCTGTAGATCTTGACCAGGTTTGCACACACTGCAACAGGGATTTTGGCCCACTCCTCCACACAGATCTCCTCTAGATCTGTCAGGTTTCAGGGCTGTCGCTGAGCAACACGGAGTTTCAGCTCCCTGCAAAGATATTCTATTGGATTTAGGTCTGGAGACAGGCTAGGCCACTCCAGAACCTTGATATGCTTCTTACGGAGCCACTCCTTGGTTATCCTGGCTGTGTGCTTCGGGTCGTTGTCATGTTGAAAGACCCAGCCACAACCCATCTTCAATGCTCTGACTGAGGGAAGGAGGTTGTTGCTCAAAATCTCACAATAAATGGCTCCATTCATCCTCTCCTTAATACAGTGCAGTCGTCCTGTCCCCTTCGCAGAAAAGCACCCCCAAAGCATGATGTTACCACTCCCATCCTTCACAGTAGGGATGGTGTTCTTGGGATGCAACTCATCCTTTTTCCTCCAAACACGACGAGTGAAGTTTAGACCAAAAAGTTCTACTTTGGTTTCATCTGACCACATGGCTTTCTACCATGCCTCCTCTGGATCATCCAGATGGTCATTGGCAAACTTCAGACGGGCCTGGACATGTGATGACTTGAGCAGGGGAACCTTCCGTGCAATGCATGATTTGAAACCATGACGGCGTAGTGTTCTACTGACAGTGACCTTTGAAACTGTGGTCCCAGCTCTCTTCATGTCATTGACCAGCTCCTCCCTTGTAGCTCTGGGCTGATTCTTCACCTTTATTATCATCAATGATACCCCACGAGGTGAGATCTTGCATGGAGCCCTAGTCCGAGGGAGACTGACAGTCGTCTTTAGCCTCTTCCATTTTCTAACAATTGCTCCAACAGTTGATCTATTTTCATCAAGCTGCTTGGCAATTGCCCCGTAGCCCTTTCCAGGCTTGTGGAGGTCCACAATTTTGTCTCTGGTGTCTTTTGACAGCTGTTTGATCTTGCCCATGGTAGTAGATGGCGTCTGACTGACTGTGGGGTGGACAGGTGCTACTAAGTTAGATTAATGAGTGAAGTAGAGGTGGACTTTTTAAAGGCACAGTAACAGGTCTTTGAGAGCCAGAATTCTTGCTGTTTCTTAGGTGTTCAAATACTTATGTTCAGCAGTGCAAGACAAATACATTCTTTAAAAATCATACAATGTGATTTCCTGAATTTTTTTTTTCATTCTGTCTCTCAGAGTGGGAATGCACCTACAATGTGAATTTCAGACCCTCCATGATTTCTAAGTGGGAAAACTTGCTAAATCACAGGGTGTTCAAATACTTCTGTTCCTCACTGTATGTCAATATATTTGGGAAGAATATTTTTAAAGTATATTTCAAAATATTTTTCTTCCATGTGGGTAGGAGGTAAGTCCTGTTAGTAAGTTCTGGCAATGTTTAGGGTTAATAGGCGAGCTACTGAAAAATAAAGGCATGGCGATCTTGGCAATGTACCAATGAAAAACAGAAAATAAAATGAAAGTGACCCTAAGCTCTTTAGTAAAAACATACCCAGATACATAGCACTGCTCAAGACTCACCCCTCCTGCTACAGACGAACAACCTGGTTGATGGCTCCATAGCCCATCTCTACTCTTCTTCAAAAGATAAAAAGATAGCAGCAACACTCAAATCTTAGCCCTTCTTGCTGTATTTATTTGACTGGCAGCGAAGTGACAGCATACATCATGTCTTCACCCGAAAAACAACCTTCTTTGATGCGTTTCACCTTACCTGGCTTGCTCACAAGGATACAGGAAGACTTCCCCCTTCAAGGAAGGTTCAAAGGGTCTTGAGTGGGATGAATACAATATGTATATCAGGGCGCTAACAGCTCAGACCATGAATAGTTTATCCAATCATCATGCTGCTGTAGCTGCCAACTGAGTCTTGTAGTTGGAAAACAACAATATTAACCACTTGCAATCCAGAGGATTTACCCCCTTCCTGACCAGGCCATTTTTTGCGATACGGCACTTTAACTGACAATTGCGTGGTCCTGCAACGCTGTTTTTTTTTTTTTTTTTTGAGCTATAAAAATAAAAGACAGACAATTTTGAGAAAAAACATTATTTTTGACTTTTTGCTATTAACTGGTTCCTGCCCGGCCTATGGCACAAAGACAGCCGACCGAACAGCTCGTCCCTCCGGGAGGATGCCATATGACGTCCTACTGGTAGCGCTTCCCTGATGCAGGTAAATAGCCAATGAAATATCTCCTCTTGCTACCTGTACTGACCCAAGACTTTTTCGTGCCATGTCCTGCTTCTGCCTGGACTAATACTTTGGCTGTGCTAATCATATCTCTGCTTGCTGTCTGTTATGACCTAGGACTCTTTATGGACCATGTTCCTGCCTGTTGCCTGGACCAATACTTTGGCTGTGCTGACCATATCTCCTTTTGCTATGTGTACTGACCCAAGATTTTTCAGACCATGTTCCTGCCTGCTGCCTGGACCAATACTTTGGCTGTGCTGACAATATCTCTGCCTGCTGCCTGTACTGACCCAGGGTATTTTATGGACCATGTTTCTGCCTTCCTCCTGGATCTCAGCCTGCTGCCTGTTCTGATCCTGGCTTGTTTAGCCACCATATTCCTGCCTGCTACCTGGGCAAATTCTGTGGCTGTTGCCTGCTTCTCCTAAAACCACAGGTAATCTTTTGCTTATCTTTTCTTCAACTAGGCTGTGAAAAAGTCTCACATGTGGTATTGTCATGTTCAGGAGGAGTAGCAAAATTTATTTTTGAGTATAGAATAAATATCCTATAAATTTCTTTCCACATTTTACAAAATGTTTTGGAAAAAATGACATGTTCAAAAGACTCATTATGCCTCAAAGAATATATTTTGGAGTGTTTTCTTTCCAAAATGTGGTAATTGTGTTTGTTTTTCTATTGTCCTGGTGCCTGGGGCCTTCAAAACTGTGATAGGTAGTCAGGAAATTAGATGAGTAATTTACGCCCCTTTTATGCTCCTAGAATATGTGAAGGTGTTACTTGGATGTTGGGTCTCTGTATACTCAGAAGGAGTAGAAGAATGCATTTTGGAGCATAATTCTTAGTATGTACATACTGTGTGTTAGAAATATCTTATAAATTGACAACTTTGTGTGAAAAATAGTTTTCATTTTTTTTTCCACATTTTTTAAAAACTTTTGGAAAAAACTGACGTGTTCACAAGACTCACTATGCCTGATAAAATATACCTTGGGATGTTTGCTTTCCAAAATGGGGTCATATTGTGCGTGCTAACACCATCCTGGTGCTCCAGGGCCTTCAAAACTGTGATAGGTAGTCAGGAAATTAGATGTGTAATTTATGCCCCTTTTATGCTCCTAGAATGGGTGAAGGTGCTACTTGGATGTTGGGTCTCTATATATGGCCAGGCTGTGGAAAAGTCTCACACATGTGGTATTGCAATACTCAGAAGGAGTAGCAGAATGCATTTTGGGGCATATGTCTTGGTATGTACATACTGTGAGTTAGAAATATCTTATAAATTGACAACTTTCTGTGGAGAAAAAAGTTTTCATTTTTCTTTCCACATTTTCTAAAAACTTTTGGAAAAAAATAACATGTTCAAAAGACTCATTATGCCTGATAGAATATACCTTGGGATGTTTTCTTTCCAAAATGGGGTCATTCTGTGGGTGTTTCCATTGTTCTGGTGCTCCAGGGCCTTCAAAACTGTGATAGGTAGTCAGGAAATTAGATGTGTAATTTATGCCCCTTTTATACTCCTAGAATACGTGAAGGTTCTAATGGATGTTGGGTCTCTATATGTGGCCAAGCTGTGGAAAAGTCTCACACATGTAGTATGGCCGTATTCAGAAGGAGTAGCAAAATGCATTGTGGGGCATAATTCTTGGTATGTACATACTGTGTGTTAGAAATATCTTATAAATTGACAGCTTTGTGTGAAAAAAAAATGTTTTCATTTTTTTTCCACATTTTTTAAAAACGTTTGGAAAAAAAACAACATGTTCAAAAAACTCATTATGCCTGACAAAATATACCTTGGGATGTTTGCTTTCCAAAATGGGGCCATTTTGTGGGTGTTAACACCATCCTGGTGCTCCAGGGCCTTCAAAACTGTGATAGGTAGTCAGGAAATTAGATGTGTAATTTATGCCCCTTTTATGCTCCTACAACACGTGAAGGTACTACTTGGACATTGGGTCTCTGTATGTGGCCAGGTTGTGGAAATGTCTCACACATGTGGTATCACAGTACTCAGGAGGTGTAGCAGAATGTGTTTTATGTCTATGCACTAAAAGTGGAAAATTGCCCTGGGCAGGAAGAGGGTAAAAGTGATCTGTATGTAAGTGGTTAAACATGTCCAGTAAAAAATTTTAAAAATCAAATTTTGTCCTAACTTTATGGCAAAATGTATTCTGCAACATGTCTTTGCTAAAAAAAAATCCCAATACAGGTAAATTAATTGGTTTACGTGAAAGTTATAGCGTTTACAAATGGCAGTATATATATTGGACTTTTAAAAAAAAGTTTTACTAGTAATGGCGGCGATCAGTGACTTATAGCTGGACTGCGAGACTGAGCAAGGCATTCTGACACTGGGGGGGAACTGACTTGGTGTCACTGACATCCCCAGTGACACCAACACAATGATCAGTGCTAATAAAAAGCACTGACACTGTACTAATGGCACTGGGCAGGGAGGGGTTAACATCTGGGGCAATCAAAGGGTTAACTGTGAGCTGTGTGCTGTTTTACTGTGGGCTGTGTTTGTGTGCTTCACTGTAAGCACACTGCTGAGCACAGCCATGCAAAGCAGTGTGCAGGAGCTGACAGGGAAGAAAACTGTTTTGTTTACTAACAGTTCTCCCACTTATCGGAGATCCTCGGCAATCACCGAGTGCTGGAGAGTAAACACTGGCCGGGACCCGGTGATTGACAGCCACGGCCGCGAATGGCGGCGCGGGTAGTGTGTGCGCACCCCTTACCCGGTAATGCAAAATCACACACACACACACACACACACACACACATATATATATATATATATGTGTGTGATTTTGCGCACAGCTGCCGCCCTGTAGCAGTATATCTGCTATGGGACGGCGGTAAAGAGGTTAATGTGGTTCTAAAGTTAAATTTTTTGTTTTTACCTTATAAAAACAAAAACCCACCGACTCCCTCCCCCCGAACAGTTACCAGTAGTGCTGAAATGTCTTCCTCTTCTCACAAGACAGATTGATAGCAGTGGGAGCCATTGGCTTCTGCTGCTGTCATTGTTATCCTGTGAGGGAGAGAGCGGGGGGCTTGACTCAAGATGTGCTGTGTGCGTCTATGGATGCACTCGAATCAGCTCAGGAGCATTTCCGCACGAGTGCCCCTCAGCACACAGCTTGCTGAGGGGGACACTCATAGAAGAGGAGGAGAGGACAGTGACAGCGGAGGACTGAAAAAGAGGAGGAAATCCACCATTATGTGCAATATCCTTTCACAGATCAGATAAGTATAACATCTTTGTTATTTAAAAAAAAACAAAAAACAATGGTTTAGTATCACTTTAACAATCTGCGGTAGTTAATAGTGCTCAGTCTTCTGTGAGCTGTAGCGAAAAAGATGTAATGGTGACCCAACCCCTTCTCCTTCCTTCCACCATTGGAAAAGGCCATGCATTTGATTATACTACATGTAACACAATATGTGAATGGGGGAGAGTCTGAGAGTCTGATGAATGACAATCCTTCCTCCCTACATGCACAGATTGTGTTCAATGAGGGCCACCATTGGAAACATAACTGCCACTCACAGAAGACTCAAAGCTATTACCTCCAGGTCAAAAGACCAGCAGCAGAGAGAGGACCTGTCATCACTGCACAGAAGGTTTCCACAGGATCCATCTGTCTGACAACATGAGGCATAGATAATTACAGGAAAGTGACGTGATTGTAGCTTTAGGAACACACACATTTTTTGAGTAAACTTCAGCTTTAAAATGTAGTTCACCACTACATAGCTGGGACATCTACAAATGCCTCGTTGCACATTCTCTTCAGGTTCCTAAATTGGGCATATGAGCATTGCGAGGCACTGGCAAATTAATGCCAGTCCCGTACAGTTTAATAAATGCTGGGAAATGCAGTTTTGAGAATTCATGCCCTGGCATTTTAGTACACGAAAAAGGATACTACAGAGGATACAGCAGTGTAAAACTGACCAACAGCCAGACAGTTTTAGTCAGGGATATCAGACCTAGTTGGAATATGCCTACATTTTATTTTTACTATGGTGATAGGGTGGGAGTTGGCAACCCATTGATCTACCCTTCAGTCATGGGAAGGTGATGGATAGGTCGGCGATCCTGCTTTGTCGACCCCGGACTTCTCCTCCAACAGAGCAACTTGTAGTGCGGTGCAGGGAGGAACTACCAGGTATGTTGTGCTGATCCTGGCTGGCCCTTCTCTCACGTCCATCCCAGGGGATGGACAAGAGAAGATGGTTGGCCTGGATCAGCGTGCCGGGAGGAAGAAGAGTACCATTTCACCGGGGCTTCCCTTCTTTACTTCCCTTCTGTGCACATGAGGAAAGTTTCTTCTGTCCTGTGAGTCCCTGTTCACTCATCACTGCACTACTGACTTCATCTGCCTTACTAATTGTCACCATCCACAGCCCTGCTAACTGTCACCATACTCTGCACTACTAACTGGCACTATCCACTGCCTTACTAACTGTCAGCATCCACTGCACTGTAAACTTTCACCATCCACTGCACTATTAACAGTCACCATCCATTGCCTTTCACCAACCTCTGCACTACTAACTGTCACCATCCACTGCCTTACTAACTGTCACCATCCTCTGCACTGTCACCATCCACTGCCTTTCTGTGACCATCATGTGCATTACTAACTGTCACCATCCTCTGCAGTACTATCACTATCTACTGCCATACTAATTGTCACCATCCACTGCCCTACTAACTTTCACCATCTACTGCCTTACTAGCTGTCACCAACCTCTGCACTACTAACTGTCACCAGCCTCTGCACTACTAACTGTCACTGTCCATTGCCTTACTAACTGTCACCATACACTGCCTTACTAACTGTCACAATACACCTCCTAACTAACTGTCACCATCCTCTTCACTACTAACTGTCACCATTCACTGCACTACTAACTGTCACCATTCACTGCATTACAAACTGTCACCATCCTCTGCACTGCTGTTACCATCAATTGCACTACTAACTGTCACCATCCACTGCCTTACTAATTGTCACCATCTACTGCCTTAATGTCACCATCCTCTGCACTATTAATTGTTATCATCCACTGAACTACTAACTATCACCATACTCTGCACTACTAACTGACACTATCCACTGCCTTACTAACTGTCACCATCCACTGCACTACTAACTGTCACCATCCTCTGCACTACTGTCACCATCCACTTAACTATTAATAGTCACCATCCATTGCCTTACTGTCACCCACTGCTGCACTACTACCTGTCACTATCCACTGCCCTACTAACTGTCATCATCCTCTGCACTACTAACTGTCACTGTTCACTGCCTTACTGTCACCATCCTATGCACTACTAACTGTCACCATCAACTGCCACACTAATTGTCACCATGCATTGCCCTACTAACTGTCACCATCTACTGCCTTACTAACTGTCTTAACCTCTGCACTACTGTCACCATTCACCGCCTTACTAACTGTCACCATCCACTGCCTTACTAGCCGTACCCATTCACTGCACTACTAACTGTCACCATCCTCTGCACTACTAACTGTCACCATCTATTGCCTTACTAGCCGTACGCATTCACTGCACTACTAACTGTCACCATCCTCTGCACTACTAACTGTCACCATCCATTGCCTTACTAACTGACACCATTCTCTGTACTATTGTCACCATCCACTGCATTATCACCATCCTCTGCACTACTAACTGTTAGCATCCTCTGCACTAATAACTGTCGCCGTCCACTGCCTTACTAACTTTCATCATCCATTGCCTTACTGTCACTATCTACTACCTTACTAACTGTCACCATCTTCTGCACTACTAACTGACACCATCCACTTCCTTACTAACTGACACCATCCACTGCCTTACTAACTGTCACCATCCACTGCACTACTGTTACTACTAAATGTCACCGTACACTGCCTTAATGTCACCATCCGCTGCACTACTAAATGTTATCATCCACTGTGCTAGTAACTGTCACCATCCACTTCCTTACTGTTAACATCCTCTGCCTTCCTAACTATACCCATCCACTTCCTTACTGTCATCATCCTCTGCACTACTAACTGTCATCATCCACTGCCTTATTAAATGTCACCATCCAATACCTTACTAACTGTCACCATCCTCTGCACTATTGTTACCATCCACTGCACTACTAACTGTCACCATCCACTGCCTTACTAACTGTCACTATCCACTGCCCTTCTGTCACCATTCACTGCCTTACTAACTGTCACCATCCTCTGCACAACTAACTGTCACCATCCACTGCACTATTAACTATCACTATTCACTGCTTTACTAACTGTCATCATCAACTGCCTTACTAAATGTCACCATCCCCTGCACTACTGTCACTATCCTCTGCACTATTAACTTTCATTGTCCATTGCCTTACTGTCACCATCCTCTGCATTACTAACTTTTACCATCCATCGCACAACTAACTGTCACCATCCAGTTCTTTACTAACTGTCACCATCCTCTGCACTACTAAGTGTTACCATCCAACACACTACTAACTGTCACCATCCACTGCCTTAGTACCTGTCACCATCCACTGCACTACTAACTGTCACCATTCTCTGCACTACTAACTGTCACCATCAACTGCCTTACTGTTACCATCCTCTGCACTAACAAGGGAATGCTTTGCTTTGAACACAACAAACATTAAAAATATTTATTAATATTTAAAAAATTCAATAAAACCCTTCTGCAAAACTCTCAAAACAAAAGCCATTTTTTAAAATGAAGTCTTGCAGCAAAAAAAAAGGCAATTCAACCTAAAAAAGGCCCAATATACATGCAATAAATACCAATACACCCCCAAAATAAATGAAAATAATATTTCCAAAAAGAAAACCATTATTTTTTTTAAAGAAAGCCTTGCCAAAACAGAGATTGATGTGGATAGGACAGCAGCTAAAAGTGACTGCTAACCAAATAACTACAATATACGGTTAACCACTTGACCTTCAGAGGATTTACCCCCTTTAATGACCAGGCCTCTTTTTGCTACTTGGCGCTGCACTAATTCAACTGATAATTGCGCGGTCATGCAATGCTGCACCCAAACAAAATTTACATCCTTTTTTTCACACAAATACAGCTTTCTTTCGGTGGTATTTGATCACCTGTGCGCTTTTTATTTTTCACGCTATAAACAAAAAAAGGCCAAAAATTTTGAAGAAAAACAATAGTTTTTACTTTCAGCTATAAAAAAAATATATAGTAAACTCAAAGTTGGTTATAAATTTAGGCCAAAATGTATTCTGCTACATGTTTTTGGTAAAAAAATCCCAGTAAGTGTATATTGATTGCTTTGTGTTAAAGTTATAGCGTCTACAAACTATGGTATAGATACTGCAATTTACGCCATTTTTTTGCTATACAGCGCTAGTTTAACGGACAATTGCGCGGTCATGCAATACGGTACATAAATGAAATTTACATCCTTTTTTTCCCACAAATTGAGCTTTCTTTCGGTGGTATTTGATCGCCTGTGTGGTTTTTATTTTTTGCGCTATAAAAAAAAGGCTGACAATTTTGAGGAAAAAAAAAATATTTTGGACTTTTTGCTATAAAACATGTCCAGTAAAAAAAAATTTAAAAATCAAATTTAGTCATAAATTTCTGCCAAAATGCATTCTGCGACATGTCTTTGCTAAAAAAAAAAAAACCCAATACGTGTAAATTAATTGGTTTACGTGAAAGTTATAGCGTTTACAAATGGCGGGAAAGATACTGGGATTTATTTTTTTATACTAATAATGGCGGCGATCAGCGACTTATGGCGGTGATCAGTGACTTATGGCGGCGATCAGCGACTTATGGCGGGACTGCGGGACTGCGGCGGACATTCTGACATTGGGGGGTACTGACTTGGGGTCACTGACATCCCCAGTGAAACCAATACAGTGATCAGTGCAAAAAAAAAAAAACCACTGACACTGTACTAATGGCACTGGGGAGGAAGGGGTTAACTTTATTTTTCAGGGAAGGGTTATCTGTGTGAGGGGGAGTGTTTTTACTAGGGGTCGGGGGTGTGTGCTGGATGGGGACAGACTGATCGGGAGAGAGAAACTCTTCTGTCCCGATCAGCTTGTCCTCGAGCTGTCAGGGAACTGACAGAAAGCACAGCTACTGGAGCTGTGCTCTTTGTCACTGATTGCCGGGAGATAGCCGGTAAGGACCGGCTGTGACCCGGCGACTGACATCTGCGGCTGTGATCGGCGGGACAGGTAGGGCGGAGGCGCGTCCTCGCACGCACCCCCTACCTGTTTACAAAACACACATTTTAAAACGTGGTTTTGCCTGCCCGTGCCGCCGCCGTACAGTGGCTGGGTGGCATGTGGTTAAAGATACAAAAACAAAAAGATACAAAAAAAGCAAAGGGGCTGTTTGCCCAAGAAGCTAGCAGACAGAAATAAAGTATAGTTTCCTAACTGAACCTAATCTCTCTCTATGCAGTTTATTAGATTACCTATCTTTATCCTACAGCAGCTTCCACTGCATCCATATTATACCAAGAATGTCTCCTCCGCGGTCACCAACTGCGCATACAAAGTGGTAAAAATTTAAAATATATGCCTGATTCCATGAAAATCAATTTCATATAATTACACTAACAATTGCCAAATGTGTCCACATGTACCAAGTGGGATCATGAGAATATATGCATCAATGGTTGATAACATGAATAAATTAACTACCAACATAAATATGTTGTGCCTTACAAATGAAGGTAATTACGATGTAGTCTTCCTGTTACTCTTTTATATTTGGATTTGTAACTACCATATATTATGGCTGACTATATGTTCTCTGCCTTCTTAATACTGTCATTTTGTAAAAACTGAAAAAAAGTTAAAATACAGGACATCTGGAAAAAACTAGACCATTGTTTCTACTCTTGATAACTAATAATTTCTTCCCTTCCAGGTCTGACTTAATGAATGTAAATGCTGCTCAACAGATCTTTCCCAGCATAATTTTTTGAGCAAATTATAAATGTTTGGAAAATACGTAGGAAAGGAATAATCAGAAATGCTGTCATAGCAATAAAATAAGTGTGACTAGATATATTGCATTCACAAGTGACTACATTGCATCGCTTTTTGGCAGGATATGGACACGTGAATATTATTGTAACACAATGGAGATTCTAATTTTGGAACTCACAGCTTACAGTTCTACTGACTTATTATGTATCATCTACAGTTAATGGGCAGACCTACAAGATGGTTTGGATTTGGATTCTAAAGATCACCTTATGTCTCACAGAGAACTAGCCTCCAGGAGCCAACCAGTCTTTTGTTTTATTAATGATCCACATTTGGTGAAAGCTTCATTCTCTTCTCTCTGAGGGGATAGGAACAATGGCTATGGGTTGTACAGAGATATGCTGGAAAATAAATTTTAGCCAGAGTATTCTTTCATTATTAGTGTCATTATATTTTGTGAGCAATGTATGGCTGCAATTGTATAGGGTGGCCAGAACTGACTCAGTAGGACTACTTATAGCCACATATCAGGAGAGTAGGGATGAGCTAAAGGCTAGGTCTGAACATTGCTTGTTTGGGCATTTCTTCGAACTCCTGAATTCTTTTGGCAGGAGCCGAACATAAAATATATACTCAGATCTGGAATAAGAGGATCATGGGCCTGGTGCTGATGATTTTGGTGGATCATAAGGGCCATGCGTCAGCATGCACTGCTGCACAGGAGTAGTGCTACAGAAGCCTGGCATTTGATTTGCCAGGCTTCCATAAGGGCCGTGCATCAGCGTGTGCCCTGGAGTGGAAGGGCGCAACCACGCAGGCCTAACACAACACAATAGGAGCTGAATCCATGGTACCCTTAGGACTGCCCGTCTGGCGCCTGTTATTAATCCCGCCACCTGACCCAGTCGGTGCGTGCAGATTGCAGGGACGGTCAGGGGAGATCTCTCCCTGTTGGCCTATTGCTTTCCATACCCAGCCTGTTCTCTTTGGGCGGCTGAGCCAATTAGGGCCATAGATATTCTTCTTTTTACATGGGAGGAATCCGGGGGGGTTCAGCTGTCGCAAATTCTAAGACCTCTTTTACATTTGTGTGAGGGGGCAGTAAAAATATGTGACAGCAAAATGTATCCCCTTGTAGTGTTCAGCAGGCAGTACAGCCTGCCTTATAAATAACTCATTCAACTGAATAATGGGAACCCTGCAAGCACAAAATGCATGCGGTTGTGTCATGCTAGGGCAGAGTTTAGCGAGTTAAAACAGGTGGTGAGGAGCAATACAGCGCCTCCTTGCTGCCTGCCAAATGCTCTCAAATGCAATCCGAATACGAATCCTCTTCAGAGTGCAACACTAGTGAAAACTAGCCCTAAATATTTATGTAGCTGGCACCCTAAGGTTTATAAATATACAGCAGCTATATATTTCCTGTTTAAAAAAATAATGAATTAGTTATAATTAGTAATTTAACCTTCCTAGCAGTATGATTATGTCCATATTTCTGTGCTCAAAGTGGTACATTTTTTTGCATGGAAATATGTTGTTTTTTTTATTGTAGGCCTGTAATTTTTAGGAATAACTCACTGAAATCTGTCCGAACAAGAGTCTAGTAAACATCCTGGTTATGATAAAATTTGAAACACGAAATCATAAATTATAATTTAATAAATAATCATAAAAAATTATAATATAATAATAAATTTAATTCAATAATATAATCAAACCAAAAACACTGAAATTTGAAATTTAGCGCCAAGTTTGCACATCGCTGAGCAAAGTCGCAAAATCGTTTTCAGTGCCTGATGTTGAATTTCCCCACGAATCATTATCACTCAATTCTGCAAGTGGTTCTGATTTACTATCGCTGTTATCTAGCTGATCTAAAACCGATTTTGACCTAAAGGGACGGTTTTTGGACGCCATGGATGTTTCTCAGTTTCCAGGCAGAAAGAACAGTAAAAATGCAGGCAGGTCACAGGACAAAGCACTCGGAACAAAATGTATGTGAAATGGTTTGATACAGTAATGTTTTACTATGTTATTTTAGTGAATTTAGTGAATGTCACTTTTTGTCATTTTCAAATTTCCCGCCGTTCTGTCCCCCGTACGTCCCGACGCTCGCAGGGGACAGAACCCAGATGACAGATGCCGGCATCCGCTGGAGGGCAATACAGGGGACACTGCAGGGGGGACATCGCGGGAGCACAGGACAGGGTAAGAGAAGAACAGATCCCGGAGCAGCGCCGCATGGTAAGCCCGAGTGTAGCTCGGGGTTACCGCTTGTGGTACTGAAACTTTACCCCGAGCTACACTCGGGAATACTGCCAGGGAGGTTAATAAAATAGATAAAATTGGTACTTTTCACTGTGTAACAATATGCAGCAGGTACCCGGTAAATATTTTTTTAACTAGTTGCCGACCGCAGATAGCCAAATGACGGCTAAACTGCGGCCGGCCAGTTCTGAGTGGACGTCATATGACGTCCTCCCCAGAACGCGCTCTCCTGCGCGCCCCAGGGGGCATGCACCCGGCGATCTCCGTGATCGCTGTGTCCTACGGACACAGCTGATCACGTGATGTGGTAAAAGGCCAATCATACCAGCCTTTTACCACGTGATCAGCGGTGTCCAATGACACGCTGATCACAGGGAAATGCAAGTGCCTGTTCTCGGCTGCACTTTCCTCACGCTGTCAGATCGTGAGGAAAGTACTGCCGAGAACCGGCAGTTGTCAGAGCGGGGATCGGCACCGATCATCAGGGCCCTGATGATCAGTGCCCTGATGATCGGTGCCCAGCAATGCCACCCGCAAGTTCCGCCCACCTGTGCCCAGCAGTGCGCCCACTAGCTCCGCCCACCTGTGCCCAGCAGATCACCCACCTGTGCCCAGCAGTGCACCCACCTGTGCCACTCTGCAGTGTCACACACCTGTGCCCAGAAGTGCCACCTACCTGTGCCCAGCAGTGCCACCCACCTGTGCCCACCCACCTGTGCCCACCAGTGCCACCCACCTGTGCCCACCCACCAGTGCTGCCCACCAGTGCCACCCACCAGTGCAGCCCAGCAGTGCTGCCAGTCAGTGCCACCAGTCAGTGCCCAGGGGTTGTGCCAGTCAATGCCGCCAGTCAGTGCCCAGCAGTGATGCCAGTCAGTGCCGTCTATCAGTACCCATCATCAGTGTCACCTATCAGTGCCGCCTATCAGTGCTGCATATTAGTGCCGCCTATCCGTGACACCTCATTAGTGCTGTCTATCAGTGCCGCCTATCCGTGCCACCTCATTAGTACTGCCTATCAGTGCCCTTTAGTGCTGCCTATCAGTGCCCATCAGTGCCGCCTATCAGTGCCCATCAGTGCTGCCTCATCAACGCACATCAGTGAAGAAGAAAAAATACCTGTTTGAAAAATTTTATAATAGAAACAAAGAAACTTTTTTTTTTTTTTTTCAAATTTTTGCACTTTTTTTAATTTATAGCGCAAAAAGTAAAGCGCCCAGTGGCGATTAAATACCACCAAAAGAAAGCTCTATTTGTGAGAAAAAAATGATCAAAATTTCATATGGGTACAATGTTGCATGACCGCGCAATTGTCAATCAAAGTGCGGCAGCGCTGAAAGCTGAAAATTGGCCTGGTAAATAAGGGGGTATAAGTGCCTGGTAGGCAAGTGGATAAATAAAAGACTAAGCAATATGGTAGAGTGACAAGAACACCCCTACCTGAAAAAGAAGGTTACTTGATGATCCACGCGGAGTAATATGAATTCAAAAATAATTTTTAACAATACTTTATTTGATCACATAGATCATAGGGAGGTTAAACATGAGCACGGTGTACATGTGAAAAAAATAAAATCATGTTAAAAAAAAAAACACTTAGCGTCTTCAATTTAGGGTCATCTTAGCAAATAGAGCACCATATAAGGCAGAGTTGTGTAATGATGAGATAGTTATCCTGGGTTTTCCGTAGGTTTCCCGCTTATATTTGAGTAAACCATGTATTCAGCAGATGTGTTCCCAATATATGTCAGGGACCCTCCTGGAATGTAAAAGCTGGAACACAAAAATACATAGTATATGTATAGAAATATGAAAACCAAATCACATCCAAAATTCACCAGGTCTCCCTCCACAGTAGTCAATGGATACTTCTATTACCTTCTCAATAGTGAGACTATCAGTCCCGCTTCTCAAATGTAGGGACTTCCTGGATAGCCACCCCAAGTGAAACAAGGTCCACAGTACCAAATGATTCTGAGGATATATATAGAAAAAATAATAAATATATAGATCATGGGCATCAAGTGACCCCGAAAACAAAACACACACAGAATGTGGATATATTACCATCAATAAAGATCAAGAAGACTCCTGTCGACTTGAAATAGGATCAGGTCCTTGATGCTTTTTCAAAGATGCATATGGGGGTGAGGAGCCAGGTAGGCACAATGCGTAGATTTCAAACACATATAATGTGTATGTAGCATATAGCAGGCCATATATACCTGAATTTAATATTCCCAATAAAGGGTTTCCAAAAATTGCTCAATTAGAGTAGGTTATTGCGGTTTTATAAGGATGTGGCTATGTCACAGCAGCAAAAAATACCTGGATAGGATAGCGTATATATATATATATATGTAGATTATCCTCCAAAGAGGATTTCCAAAAAAATTCCACGAGTATACAGGGTAAATTAGGCCCATGAAACATGCTCTATAAACACCATGCAGGCTCTATAAATCTCAACAGCCGTAAGCTTTAAATAACTTGCCACCGGTGGAAGGTATGTTTCCCTGAGGGATTGCCGTTTGCGAACCGCTGTAAATAGTAGCCCACTGGTAGTTCTCAGAGGATCTTGGGCCTTCCTAGCAGGGAGCGGCGGTGATTGGCGGACGAAACGCGTCAATGTATTGACGTCACTGCGCTCGGCGTCTTCACTGGGTGCGGCGCCCACGAGGCGGGAAGGAACGGCGGTGTCACAGCTCCCTGCTAGGAAGGCCCAAGATCCTCTGAGAACTACCAGTGGGCTACTATTTACAGCGGTTCGCAAACGGCAATCCCTCAGGGAAACATACCTTCCACCGGTGGCAAGTTATTTAAAGCTTACGGCTGTTTGAGATTTATAGAGCCTGCATGGTGTTTATAGGGCATGTTTCATGGGCCTAATTTACCCTGTATACTCGTGAAATTTTTTTGGAAATCCTCTTTGGAGGATAATCTACATATATATATATATACGCTATCCTATCCAGGTATTTTTTGCTGTGACATAGCCACATCCTTATAAAACCGCAATAACCTTCTCTAATTGAGCAATTTTTGGAAACCCTTTATTGGGAATATTAAATTCAGGTATATATGGCCTGCTATATGCTACATACACATTATATGTGTTTGAAATCTACGCATTGTGCCTACCTGGCTCCTCACCCCATATGCATCTTTGAAAAAGCATCAAGGACCTGATCCTATTTCAAGTCGACAGGAGTCTTCTTGATCTTTATTGATGGTAATATATCCACATTCTGTGCGTGTTTTTTTCGGGGTCACTTGATGCCCATGATCTATATATTTATTATTTTTTCTATATATATCCTCAGAATCATTTGGTACTGTGGACCTTGTTTCACTTGGGGTGGCTATCCAGGAAGTCCCTACATTTGAGAAGCGGGTATGATAGTCTCACTATTGAGAAGGTAATAGAAGTATCCATTGACTACTGTGGAGGGAGACCTGGTGAATTTTGGATGTGATTTGGTTTTCATATTTCTATACATATACTATGTAATTTTTGTGTTCCAGCTTTTACATTCCAGGAGGTCCCTGACATATATTGGGAACACATCTGCTGAATACATGGTTTACTCAAATATAAGCGGGAAACCTACGGAAAACCCAGGAATAACTATCTCATCATTACACAACTCTGCCTTATATGGTGCTCTATTTGCTAAGATGACCCTAAATTGAAGACGCTAAGTGTTTTTTTTTTTAACATGATTTTATTTTTTTCACATGTACACCGTGCTCATGTTTAAACCTCCCTATGATCTATGTGATCAAATAAAGTATTGTTAAAAATTATTTTTGAATTCATATTACTCCGCGTGGATCATCCAGTAACCTTCTTTTTCAGGTAGGGGTGTTCTTGTCACACTACCATATTGCTTAGTATGTTGTTTTTGGGTTTATGTATCCACACTTATACAAGTGAGTCGGAGATATGTTAATGACACCAGTAATTCGTGTCATTTTTGGTGGCTTGTTTTTTCTTTTTCTTTTTTTTTTTTTTTTTTTCTTTATTGTTGGGATAAATAAAAGAAACTAGGCCAACTTCGCAAAGACCTGTTTAGTTTGCACAGAAAGCTTGGCTATTATCCAGTCTTAGGTCTCATTAATTTGTCCTAAATGGCCATGGAATGGCAAGTTTACCGTGAATACCTACAGCGGGGATCCCAGGTTTGCTAGTCTCTGTCAGTTGCTCAGCATGTACACCTGAGTGATGGGCTGAAAAGAGCAAAGGCTGTCCACTGCTGCAAGGCTGCATGCACACTGAGCGTTTTAATAAGGCTGGTAACGTTAGCTGTGTAAAGTCACCTTAAAAACGTGAGTTTTTCAGGGTTTTTTGCGTTAGCGTTTAGCGGGGGGGTTTGTTTGCGTTTTTAGTGCTTTTTTTTTACAAAAAAAAAAATGTTTTTTGGGGTCAAAAAACATCCCAAAAATGCCGGTTTGCTGCGATTTACCGCGTTTTATTGCGTTTTTTCAACATTAGAGTGTTTTATAGCTAAAAAAAACTCTAGAAACCCACTAGTCTTGGGTTTTTTTTCCAGCCAAAAAATGCCCCCGCCAAAATACATTGATTACAGTCTATGAACACATAGGATAACATGCTGGGGGGTTTACTGGCTGTAGAAAAAAAATGTCAAAATCCAAAAACAGCCGCTGTAAAAGCATCCAGTGTGCATGACGGCTAAACATTTATCTGCTTACTACTGTTAGGACAAATGTCTGACCCTGGATGCAGAGAGATTGCATCCAAGGACAGACATGTATCCCTACCTGCATGTAACCATTGGATGTGCAGATACATGAAGATACAATCCAAAGCGGACAACAGTGTGTACTCTCCAGCGCTCCAGGAATCAATTGCCAAAGGAAGGCCAGGCGACCAGAGCAAACGGTGGTCTATGGATAACGTGTCAGGGATGCAGCCCTCCTAAGATGGGGAAATCAGCAACTGGAAAAGAGCAAACAGGGGACACAAACACCTAGTGCATTATCCAAGGTTTATTCAAAATGCATAAAAGACAAAAACATACAAACGTAGCATGTGTATAAC